TGAACCACTTGGGAATGCTCCTCGCAGGAAATATAGATACTAACATGGCAGCAAACAAAGTTGTCACCGACAATAGGTGGATGACAATTTCTGAGCAGCATGACAATCTGTCAATACAGCTGACGCCGCTACTCGCCGAGCGCCTTGACGTTATGCAAGCTACTGCAGGAATGGCCCTCCTTGTTGGATTACCATCTTCAACCGAGCTAGCACAACATCTAGGCACAACATCATCAGCTGGAGATGTTCTTCTCGACGCAGACCCACGGGCGAAAGTCCTTCGTATCGCTTGTCCGACACTTCCCAGGCGTGTAAGTGCAGAAGGCCACTGCCATGGCGACAACATTGAATGGGCTAGGGGAAGCGGATTAAAGCATTCTGAGTCCCTTGCTGCCATCTATAGCCGTCTCTTGGGCCCATTCTCTCATGTGGTCTGTGTCTTTGTCTCGAGTTTCTCCTCTACGTTAGAACTAGGTAGTTTCCTATCATCCTGGCTTCGATCTACCTGGTCTAGGACGCAGATGTTTGCGCCTTCCCACTCACCTGCAGCTTTGCCGCGCCTCATCGTTCTGACAGAGGGGAAGACTTTACCCGGTGGCGGCTTCCTAGGAGGGCTTAAGTCATCACTGGAAGCTATCGTCATGGAGCAGACGGGCTTCTCGCTCACTCGAGCCTTCTCCAACTTTACTGTCAAAGAGGCTTTGACGGAAGTCGGCCTGCTTCGGCAACGTCGATATACAAAGATGACGGCGTTTCTCGAGAGCGAGTGCGCGGCGGCTAGGAGGGATTTCGAGCGCTTGAACATGCTCTATGATGCACATAACTTGGTTGACCTATTCTCCAGAGCCTATCGGTGCCTGGTATCCAATACTATCTTTAATCCAGTTATAGCTTCACGGGCATGGAATCCGATACCGTCGAATGCGGTACGGCAGATTGTAAGGTTTCTCTCTGACTATGAAGATAAAGAGTCTCTACAAAAGTTCGCGTTGCCATACCTAGTCTCTGCGATACGCGCAAACGCGTATCCGGCTACATCCCATCGTGAGTATTTGTTTCTGTTTCTTTCCCTCTTATCCTTTGTGTTTGCCTTGCAAATGTACAGGAATGGCAACACTATCTCTTTTTCTCCTCTTTACGCTAATTCTACATCGCTCCATACCTGCCTTAATATTTGATGTTTTCAAGAATCAGAAAGACGTGATACGCACATATACGAACCCATAAACACTCACACGCCTACTCCTATTCCTATATGAATATCCAATGGCTAACGATGTTCCAAAGCTTTTGACTTTCCACTCATCTTCGACACTATCTACAAATCGACCTGGGACCACGCGGCACATACAGCGTCCTTGACAGAAGACATGTGTCTGTTGTTTGAGCGTATGGTGAGACGCTCTCTAGATGCCGTAGCTGTCATAGATACCGAAGATACCACGAACCCCATGGAAAATCTGAAGTCCTTGAACGGATTGAATGCCGCAAACCTTCTAGACGCCGTGACCACCGTAGGCCCTAACCCCGATGACTGTGTCACACAAGCAAGAACGGAGAAGGTAACGGCGGGTCAACTCAATGAAGATCACGCGGTCCAGATGGATATACAGGTAAGCTCACACGAACGTCGCCATCTTTGTTATCTAGTCACCATCCGTGACAGGTGGCGGTCGCGCAAAGTTCAGGACTACTGTCCCGCCTGTATTTTACGAAGGCCTGAATACGGGCTGCCCTGCGGCCACATGTATTGCGAGCACGACATCAGACTTTTGGGAACGAAAATAGGGCGTGAAACATACGTAGTGGACGAGTGCATCTGCTGCCAAGCCCGCTTCACCGGAGTGATATTCCGATTTCGGCCCAAAACCAGAGGTATCAGGATTCTCGCGCTTGATGGTGGTGGCGTCAGAGGCATCATGATACTGAAATGTCTACAACTATTGCAGACGAGACTACGGGACTTCCTCCCCGGGATGGACATTATTGAGATGTTTGATGTTTGTGCTGGGACAAGCACAGGTAAGTTCACCAAGACTTTGTATTTGCGAATAGCGGTCGAGATATATCAAGAAGTTGGGAGAAGAGATAGTGAATGGGCAATGAAGGGGCGTTCCAGGGTAGCACTTTGCTTATGCGCACCTAGAAGCTAACATGGTCAATTAGGTGGAATCTGTGCTTTGTCGCTCGCTCACAAAGGTATCTCAATCAAGGAGGCCATCCAAGAGTTTACAGATCTTAGTCAGCGCGTTTTCGTCACGCAGCCAATTTGGACAAGAGTCTTGAACTTGCTCGCCCGTGGATCAATCTACGGTAGCCGTGCGATAGACGAGCCACTCAAGAGTCATTACGGTGAAAGCACGCTATCCGACTACTCCCTCGCATCTGCTCGCGCTGCCAAGATTCTCGTCACAGTGACGGGAACACCGAGCGGGGATCACATCCTGAGTAACTTTAACGGCGTCGGTCTCGACGCCTCGCACTGCGACTTTGAACAGGCGTTTTGTCAACTTAGCGATCCAGAAAGGCAAAAAGCAATTCTTGCCTGGCAAGCGTGAGTCGATTTCCATTCTGTATACCTGCAAGTTTCGATAATTCTCGCCCTTCCGCACCAATCACCTTCAATGTCCTTTTTTGTTTTGTTTGTTTG